AAATTGGAAAAACAGCCTAGTGAAAATCGTTTACAGTTTAAAAGCAAATAGAAAGTCCTATTTTTATTTCCTTTCTTTATATTTTTTGCAGATTTGCACATGTACAAGTTTTAAAATGAAATATTTTCAAAAAATATTGACATTTTGAACAGCTGTATGTTTGAGCAGCTGCATTCCTCTAGGTCAAAAATGAAAATGGGATTTACAATAAAAAGTAATTTACAAAATTATTTTGACTTGAGCTTATTAATGAGTAACGTCTCTTTGAGTGAATGTGCAAATTTTTAATGTTAACAGGTTTTACCATGTTATTACAACATTTAACCACTTTTTATTAATTAAAAAATTGAGAAATTCTTTCAAATTTAAATCTTGTACAAGAACTACAGCAAAAACCAGTTTGATGTGTATTTTATCAATATTTTAGAAATTGTATTTGAATATTACCAGTACTGACTTCAATGGATTTCATTAAATTCCTTTGAACACAACTGCTCAAAACGGTCTAAATTTATGAAACCTACACATTCAAAACATTATTACTCTGAAATGTTTAATGTACATGTTAAGTGTAAGTGAAATGTTAAGTGCTGTAAGGTCTTTCATGACACTACATATGCTGGGGTGTGAATTTGATAGGTGCTTGATATAAAATAAATGGAGTGTCTGAAGAACAAATAATGTTGAAACTTTAAAATGTAGTTTGTTTTCCTCTATTATAAAAGTTGCATAAAACAGACCTTTCTGCGTGCCATAAATATTATTTTAGTCTTTTAGCAATTCTTCTCCCCGAGTTACCATCTTCCGCCATTTTCGAGAGTACCCCAGAACGTAATCAACTTAATGTGCGTGCTTTCGCTGAACGTAATCAGGGTTGTTTACGTTCAGTAGACAGCACGCGCATGCTGAACGTAAACAATGCTCATTACGTTGATTACGTTCTGGGGTACTCTCCAAAAGGCGGAAGACGGTAACTCGGGGAGAAGAACTGCTGAATGAATTGTTATTATTGTTTTCTTTGCACACAAAAAGTATTCTCGTAGCTTCGTAAAATTATGGTTGAACCCCTGATGTCACATGGACTATTTTACCGATGTCCTTGCTACGTTTCTGTGCGTTGATCATGGTAATATCATTGCTGTCTATGGAGGGTCAGAGAGCTGTCTGATTCCATCAAAAATATCTTAATTTGTGTTCAGAAGATGAACGAAGGTCTTACTGGTTTGGAACAACATGAGGGTAATAAATGACAGAATTTTTGGGTGAACTATCCCTTTAAGATATATTTAATACTTCTTGAGTTCAGACATGCAAACTTTGGAGAAAAAAAAACTGAAAAGTGCTTTTTCCCATTTTTGGATGGTCACCACTGGCATATACTGCAAACAAAGATAGCTAAAGTCAACAGATTTTACTAATAGACCTAGCAATATAATTTGGCTCTGAATCTTGTCTCATAAAAAATTATCATTTTGACCCCCCTCTACAAAATAGTGGATTACTCAGTAAATATAAATCCATGGAATTTAATATTTTGGCTTTCATCACTATACATGTATACATACACTATAACATTCTTCAGAAAAAATACTGACAAAATCAAAAAATTTGAGCTGGGGAAGTTTCTGAAATTTGATTGATTTGACATGGAATGACCCTCATGCCTTTTACCAAGCCTTCTAAAGCCATACAATTGTGAGATATTTGAGAGAAACAGACCTAATTAATTGTCTTTGAGCTGGTTCTTTTTAGTGAACTGTTTGATCCAATTAAAAAATTAGTTCTCATGTTAGCAGCTTTCTGGAGGGGATGATTGCCAGTGAATATATACAGAATATATATACAGTAAATACAAGGATTTTTTTTTTTTTTTTTGCAGTGGTAAGTAAATATGCCTTATCAACCAGCCACTGTGGTGGGAGAACTCAGATTGGCTTTTGACGTTAAAAGCTCTTGTTTAGAATGCTGTTGTTTACTCTTGTTTAAGCACAGGTTTGATTCAGTCTTCAGAAATGGACAAGGCATATGTGTTTGGAGATGGGGAGCCTCACTCTGGCAGACTATGGCACCTCTTCTTCCTGTTCCAGATAGATCCCAGCACCCTTTCCATCCAACTGTTCCCCATCCTAGTGTGTGCTCTGGTTCCCTCTTCACAAAAGTGTGTAGACACATTCTCCCAGAGATGTTTCAAGCATTCTGGTGCTGAAAGAGGAAATGCTTTGGAAAGTTCAAATTAAATAATGAGATAAGCACAAGGAATAGGACAGCATTAAATAGATGATTGGTCAGCACTCATTTCCTCTTTTATGATGTTTGATTCAAAGGGCACCTATTATGCAAAATTCACTTTTACATGTTGTTTGAACATAAATGTGTGTTGGCAGTGTGTGTACACAACCACCCTGTAATGATAAAAATCCACCTGCTCCTTTTTTTAATCCTCATAAATCATAAGCAGTATCTCAGAACAAGCCGTGCGCATAATCTGTAAAATGTGACATCACATTTTACAAGCCCCACCCATGATTGTTGATGGACACTGCCGTATTAGCAGAGACCCTGCCCTGAGTGCGCCGCTCATAATCCACGATGTTTATATTTATGCTAGAGCATTTAAAAGCAGCATTCAAGTAAGAAATGTCTTCTTATAAGAGCTACAGAAATAATTCATTCAAGAGCAGTGAGTGATTTTCTGTTTTTATTTTATTGTTTGGGTCATATTAACAGATGTTTTGTTTTGGCAGAGTATTCTGAGGTACAAGCTGTAAAGGCACAGCCCTATAGAGACAGAGCGCATTTAAGCCACGCCCACACCGGGGTGGAAAACAGTCCAACGTTCTCCATTGACTTTGTATTGAGGGAAGCTGCCTCCTTGTAATTTCTGATTTATAACAAAAAACAGAACAATGCCTAAAAGCTGCTGTGTGACAAGGTGTACAGCAAACAAGCTAAAAAAAAAAAAAAACAGAACTACGTTTTTATAAGCTGTCGACCCAAAAAAATGAGCGTTTAAGGACACACATAGTTGTAGATGTCAGGGTATTTCACGTTGGGCTATTCAGTTTGATCATTTCTCCAATAAAAGGAATGTAAGGAAAAGGGGCACTGACATAGACCAATAAAATTTAGTTTCTCAATATATCTGCTCCTCTCAGGTTCACATAGGTAGGGTGGTGAAATAATCCTTTGACATGGTTAAAAATAATGAATGTCTCCTGTCACCGATTACGTTTCTCTCCAGTGGGCGTAGTTCTCAGAGTAATATGACACATTGTGCTCTACTTTTGTGTCCTTAAATGCTCGTTTTTTGGGTCGACAGCTTATAAATGTCGCATGACATGGCTATGCGATGGCGCTGCAGACAGCAGCCTCAGTGTTTGGCTCTCCAGTGTTTGTACTGTTTTTCTTAGTTTTTCCTGTTTTTTGTTTCTCAAACTTATCAGTTTTACCAGGGATGAGCTGCTGAACATTCGGCAGTACACACCACACAATCTTCTACCGGATTTCGTTTATTCGGACATTTTGCTGAACGTTGTAGTTGGCGGAGCAGC